TGGTGCTACCTTTTTAAAAATAACAAAAGTACCCTACAAAAGCTGGCCAGGTGAAAGGGTTAACAGATGGATGCGGATCTGGATATATGTGTTTCTTGCCCTTTCAAACCTTTTAAGCCAGACTGGGGTCAAGTTACTGAAGCAGAACAGCTCTGTTGACAAACATGTGGTCTTCAAAAACAATCTCAGTATGAGAGGTGCTGCTGATTTAAAACAACAGAAAGAGGGAGAGAAAACCACCACCAGACTACATGAAATTCAACCCAACAGCCACCTTCCCCTCTAGCCCTCTTTTGTTAACTTCCCTTCCCTGCAGAGTGAATCAGCCATGCTTGGGGTTAAATGGGTAGCTTTTGTCTCCTCACAATGGCAGAGAGTGACAGGGTGAGCTAAATGATTTACTGGTGGAGATGATTTGAAGGACAGAGCAGAGCAGCCTTGGGCGCGGGCACGCACGCACGTGGACACGCGCGCATACACAACAGTGGCACATTAGTACTCCTTTTTTCCCATGGTTTTGACTGATAGATCACAGAGTGAAAATCTGACAGCCACAAGGACCATTGAGAGGCTATTTTTATTACTTATCAAGGTGGCCCTGTTTTGTTGAGAACAGATCTGAGGTTAATTATCCTTTACTTTCTCTTTAAACGTTATTTTTCTTATTAGCAATTTTTATTGAGGTACAAAATGTGACTGTAAGTCTGTAAGCTGGCAGAGCCATCACTGTGGCCCAATCTGGCACAGGAACCATTTCCAAGCAAGTGAAAGCTCTGTAAACAGATTTCCAACCAAAATGAGGAGCTTGCCACACAGAGCGAGAGACCCAGTTGAGATACACTAAAACCAGCCTTACTACTGGAAAGGCTAGTTTTAGTGTTGTGAATCTGACTTCCCAGCTGTTGTGAATCTGACTTCTCTAGACTCAAAGCCCATTCCCACAACACAGCTGACCAGATGGGGACAATGTTGTACTACAACAGATTCCTGATTGTCTTATAATGTTTTTAGGTCATGTGGGGATGGGACCAAACTGTTTTATAATGATATGGGGTAGTGCTAGAGCTGTGGGATCATATTCACCCCATGTGTTTTTCCACCTACTAACAATGAAAATGGAGAGGCAGAGTGCTTGGTGGTGGAAAGTCCACCCTGGCGGTAATTACAGTAATGGAAGTGGCAGCAGTCTCCACTTGCCTGGGGAGAGGGCAAAGAAGCCAGCACAGCCCCTAAAACGGGTGGTGCTAACCAGGAGAGGGGCCTGGTTACGGGTAGCTAAGAGGTACACACATTCAGCTCCTCTTCTAGGCAGCCTCCAGTGGCAGGGCTTCTGCGGGTGTCCCAGTTCCACATTACAGCTTCCCTCCTCACAAAAAGTGGTGATACAAATTCCAACTCCCCTCGCACTGCTTCTGAGCCCATGTCATTCCATTGAGTTCAGAGGGGTTGTTCCTTGTTTACACTGGTGTAAATAAGGACAGAATCAAGCTCCTGAATTCCTCCTAGAGTGCACCTGCCCCAGTTGTAATTTGTTCCTTTATTCACCATCAACTGCATGTTATCTAAGCCAGCATACTCTATACTGCTCCCTGACAATGGGCCTAGTTTTTAAGAGGCCTCACCCTGGCCTCCCATTTTTCTCAGAGTCTTGCAGGTACACATCATTATGAGAACATTTGATGTCACGTAGACATTCAACTACGTGAGTCCAGCCAGGGAGGTAAGTGTCAAAGTTATATCCAGCTTTCTTCACTGCACAACCCTGTGTCAATCCAATAGCATGCCCAGCCTGTGAATTCAGTAAGGCTGGGATCCTGTAGGAAAAACAGTATGTGATCATGTAATTAAAGACTGTGGATATGTCTACACTAAAAGCACTACAGTGGCACACCTGCAGCTATGTGGTTGTAGTGTAGATGCTTCCTACATAGACAGACGAGGTTTTTGCACTGATGTAACTAATCCACCTCTCAGCAGTGGTAGCTAGGTCAATGGAAAAATTCTTCTGTCAACCTAGCTGTGTCTACACCGGGTATTATGTCACTCTGACCACAGCATTCAGGACATGAAATTTTTTACAGCAACATAGCTAGGTCTATCTAATTTTTAAGACTACACCTGTACCATAATGCATACTCACAAAGGCTGGTGAAAGTAAGGTTACACAGGCAACCTTAATTCAGGGATTTCCTTACTTTTGGGTGCTTAATTTTACAACCTTAACTTTCTTTTAATGTATGTAATTCTAATAAAGTTCCTTGTTCAGTGTTGGAAGAAAGCTACTCTTTCTGTGATTCTTTCCCATTGGTACATGACCCCTCTGTGCTCCCTCTTCCAACGACTAAGGAGCTGTTGTTTATAGGGAGCTGTCTAATCCTTTAGCTGCTCACTGAGTTATCAGTCAGGAGCTCTTTTGTTTTACCCCAACCTTTTCTGTCTGTTTGTGCAAAGAAAAACATTGAGGAGAGTTAAACACCTGTCTGTTGATGCTAGCCTGTCCCAACGTTATTGCTTTGTCTTACATCATTCCAATGCAGTCCAACAGCTCTAACTGGGAATGACCTCATTCCTTTACCATTCCACACAGTTTACATTACATGTCCTTCACTATTGCTCTCACCAACTCGTAGCAGAGTGCCACTGAAATCAGTAGAATGACTTGCAGAATAAAGTGCTTATTGCTGTAAATATGAACATAAGTGAAGCAGAAAATGAAAGCTCTCTTGAAAATGTATGCTGAGACCTCCCGGAGATCGCCTCTGAAAACCTGCTTTATTGACTAACATTTGTAAGAGAAAAGTGAACACATTTTTATTTAAAATAGGAAAAGGACTTTTTCAGATAATCTCTGAATTAGTGTGGAAATATAAGGGCAGACCAAGAAAATGTACTAGGTTAAAATCTGGTTCGGGCTAAATCAGAACCCATAGGAAGACCTGCATGGCTCAGAAAAGGCAGCAATTTCTGCTGTTTTATTTATTCTGGTCTGTGATTCATGAGGTGCTGGTCACGCATAGTGAAATAGTAATTCCTATCACAGGCTGTAATACTATGCAACTGTCAATGTCATCATTCATTGATGATAAATAACTAACAAATAAAACAGACATATTCATCCATAATTACTGTAAATGACAATTTTTCAGTGCCTGCCTCTTCCTGAATTATGAAATCTAGACACCAAACCATCAGGCTGCAAAATGTCTAGCAAAGTTTTATTCAACTATATTAAGCTAGCTTCAAAGAAAAATTGCTTAAGAAACTTCTCAGACTCCTTCATCCTGACTAGTTAGAGAAAGTCGATCAGTAGAATTGCTGGGTATAATCATGCATAGTTTTTCCTGGCTAGATTTCAATGGTATTATAATTTTAATAACAACAAACAATAAAAAAGGTTATGAAAGGTACTATTATTGAGAAAGACAATGAGAACATGCAAGTATGAAAGCTCAAGACAAAACAGTACTTCACATCAGCCGCCGCGGATGTGGAAGACGTGACTTAATTTAATGGAAAGTAGGAGGGCTCTCTAAAAATGGCAACATTAAGTATAGCACTGAAATGTTTATTGTTAACCGGTATGCATGTGAGTCCATGGAGCTACAGGTGGCTGATACTGCACATGTGCTGTGCTGCTAATGCACATCTGGAGCATTGCATCTGGGATAAACTATTCTATTTCCAAATCCAAAGAGCAAAGCATATTGCATCTCAAATGACTTACTTTAGATTATGCAAAAATCAATACGAATGAACTAAAGTCATTTCTCTGTGAGAGAGCATGGTGTGTGTCGGTGTGTGTCTCCCCCACCCCAAATCTCACAATCCTCCCCAGCCAGTGCTGTCTCTTATTGGCTGCCCCTCCCCAGTTCTGTCTCTTCCCACCCCTGCTGTGTCTGTGTGTTCTCGCTAAAAAACAGCTACTATGCTCTGCACGCCGGGGGCCAAATAGCGACTAGCCTTTGCAAGGGTCATGATGAGGGATGGTGCAAGGAGCCTTCACCTTTGCATGCCTTTTGCAAGGAACAGTCACAATCACTGACCCCCCAGAGGAGTCCTTCATCCCCAAGGAGGTGGGGAGGAGGCAGGGCTATGACCCTACTCCTACTATATTGACCTATGGAACAGGGCTGGGGAAGTAGGTTGCTGTCCCCTTATGCACCAATCCCCTTATGGAAACAGAAAAAGAGATGGGAAAAGAACATGCACTCTGTGGTTCCCATGCTGAAGTTCCCTACAAGAAGCCAGAGAGATGGGCTCTCCATCTCAAGGGCACTGGCATATCCAGTGGAATTTAGTGGCCTCAGGAACTGATGTGGAATGCATAGGTTGGTCTTTCCATTCCATCAGAGCCCAACTAGAAACACTGGGCCCAGGACTGAAGATAAGACCAGCCACTCAGTTCCTCCCCATCCACAACAATTACTTGCTGCTAGCAGGATTGTCACATTGCTGCCATTTCACTGCTTTGCAGCAGGTTACAATATGTTCCAAGACTAAAAAAGCCCAGTGCAACTTAGTGTCGGTCTGGCATTGCTCTGTGATGTGTCATGACAGTGATGTAAAGGAAAACACCTGCTTTTTTTATTTGTAGAGTGTGCAGCAATGGCCACTCTGGGTTGCTCTACACTTTATTTGCTGGCTGGCAGACATGTGGATTACGATGGCAAGGAGGGAAGGCAATAAGCATCTGTAATCAAAATGGGAGACAACACACTTTAATGGAACTGCACATGAGCAGTAGAGAGCAGGTTCAGAGTCAAAGCACTGGGACTCTTCCAGACAAGCAGGCTTTCACCAGCAAGGCAAAAGTATTACATGGTAGTGCCACTTGACAGAGCAGAGTGATGAGGAACACATTATAATGTAAAAAGCAACAGAGGGTCCTGTGGCACCTTTAAGACTAACAGAAGTATTGGGAGCATAAGCTTTCGTGGGTAAGAACCTCACTTCTTCTCTTGCATCTGAAGAAGT